AACCTAACTCTGTAAGCATAAACCAAAACATTTTGTGCCCTATAAATTCAGCTATGCCAAATACTAGAAAATAAATAGTATATGCATTGGAAATGGAAGAGATCCTTTGCTGGAAAATGTGTCTTTTGAAAGATAACGCAAAAAAAATGGCTAAGAATATCTGGCACAATCCTGTCTAAAATGCAGCCACTAGTAAACCTAGAACTGGTAAAAAAAAAAAAAAAATCCCAGTCTAAAATATCAGTAATAGTACATGTAACATTCGATTTGCATTGTACGCCATGCAGGTCATGAAAACCGTAGTTTGGACTATTAACTGGCCTAATGTATAGAATTGTGGTTTTTCTACTATCATACGCTGTGAGACAGCATATGGTAAAATATTCCTATAATCAATATGAGTTTTGCCACAACATACACAAAAATTTCAGGGATAATTTCTACAAAAAGTGAGTAAAACAGGGCAATAAGATGTTCTTTGGACATCTGGGCACAAATGCAGTGGGAGGGAGGCTGACTCAACCTGCTTGCAGCCAGCAGCATAGGGATCACTCTGCACTCGTGTTCGGCAGGAAACTCAGATAACGGGGCCAAGCACGGCGGCAGTGGTTCCTCCTTCGGCAGGACTTTCTCAAGGGATTGGGAAAGAAATAGAGCCTGAAACTCAACTATATTCATTTTCTAAAGGATTTTCAAATGCCAAGCAGGTTAAAAAATGAACAAGCAGAAGTCCATAAGCCCCTGCCTATGAGCTGAAGGAGGGGGAAAGGCAACAGAGATCTATCGTGGCAAATACCAGACTGAATTCCCTCTGGCTCCACTTCTAAGACTAAGCCCAATATGAACAGATGGAGAGAAGCCACTTCTCGCCTAGAACAGATCTGCGAGCCACAGAAGGAGAACAGGAAGGATATCTTCCCAATACGGAAGAAAGCTTATCCTCTTGAGGAGATAGGGGTTTGATGTTCTAACAAGTCTTTTATCAGCACTTACTGCTAATACCAAACACTTTCACGCTGTATAAGGAAACAGTGGAGAATTTCTCTCTAAGATGTCAGAGCCTTAGTCATTGTAAGCTAACAAACATCATGTAAGCAAGTCCAAAATTCAGAGGAAAACTGGAAAATGGGGTCTCAGACTTCCATCCGCTCCGGATTACCACAACCATCCCCTGTTCTGCCACGAACCGCCTCACCGCTGCACAACTCAAACATCTGTCAGCCACACATATCCCGTTCCGCTTAACAGCTTTACTTAGCAACTCGCTTCAAGCCTCCCGCGCGGAGCGTTAGTGCTCTGTCAATTCCCCATTCTCTTCTAACTTGCGAATTTTTAATCTCGCGCCTGCTGGGTTTTTTTTTAATTTTTTTTTTTTTTTGTCTTGGGAGAATGAAAAGGTTTTGTATTTTTTAAGTGTGAATACTTTTATGAGGTCGTTTAAAGACTATGCTAAATTACTTGTATAATTACTGACACAAATGAAGACACATTTAACATGACAAGCTCAGGGGTACCTCTAACAGATAAATTTCTCTTTTATATAACTCTCCTTCTCTCCCACATGGTTTCCCTCAGAGAAATCACTGCCTGAAAGCCCTGTTGCCCTCACATGGAGCAATAGAAGAAGGATCACCTGCAGTTGCGCTGAGCAGCAGCAATCAGAAACCCTCATCTGATCTTCAGTTCTGACAGGCTCCAGATCACTAAGAATTTACCCCATACCACAGAATTAACTATGGATAAAATAATCTACATGGGGGCTGAAATATAAATGGCTGAAACCCTCACTATGCAGTATTTCATTTCCCAAAGTGTTCTTGATGCAGAAAGTTAATCAGCACACTTAAATTGAAAGTATTCATTTTACCTATGGTAGGAACTCGATCTGCAACAAATTAAGTGAAAGATCATCTAGTTTTACTGTAGATCTGGCTATTCCCTCCAAAATGATTTCCCAGATTCTGAATAATCTGTAGAGATTTTTTTCTTATTTTCTATGGTAGAATTCTATCAGGTAAGGAAAAAAAACGTTTCCCCAGTGTCCTCATCTGAAAATCTTTGAAGTTTGCAGGATCTTATTTAGAGTTTTCAAAAGAATTTAATAAATTATAATTAACTCAACTGTCTCACATGATAGACCACTTATATTTTCCCCATTTAATTCCTCAGTGAAATTCCAAATCTTTCCTTTGGTTAAGGCATAATTTCCTGAAAGATGGTGCTGATTTTTCAACTTCAAATATAGATATTCACAGCTGTATTTATTCTATTTTTTAAGTATTGCATAGCTGAAAAGGTAGGTCTAATTTTGAATTAGAATGAGTTCCTTTTCCAGTCT